CGCCTCAGCCACTTCGCCGCCCAATGGGACCTATCCACATCCGATGCATGGGTTAGGGACACAATCAGGTTTGGCCTCGCCCTGGAGTTCAGGTCCGCTCCCCCTGATTGTTTCTTCCCATCCCCCTCCTCAAGGGATCCCTCCAAACGTGCACTAATGGATGCTGCCATCCATCATCTTCTTGACATCCAGGCCATTCAACCTGTCCCTCCGGATCAGAGAGGAAAGGGGTTTTACTCCCATCTCTTTGTGGTGCCCAAACACTCTGGGGGTTGGAGAGCCATCCTGGACTTGAAACGGCTCAACCGTTACCTTATCCAGCGTAGATTCAAAATGCACACTTTGCAATCAATTCTTTTAGGCACCAGGCGGGGAGACTGGTTATCTTCCATAGATCTTTCGGAGGCATACCTCCATATTCCAATCAGGCCTTCCCATTACAAATTCCTCAGGTTCTGTCACAATAGCCTTCATTATCAATACGTGGCCCTTCCCTTTGGACTGGCCTCGGCCCCCCGGACCTTCACCAAGGTCCTGGCGGCCCTGGCGGCTCATCTCAGGAGCGTTCCCGTCCGCCTCCACTGCTACTTGGACGATATCCTTATTCTATCCCCGTCCAAATCCCAGGCAGTCAGGGATACCAGGGTCACCCTCTCCTCCTTACAGGCACACGGGTTTCTAGTCAATTGGCAAAAGAGCCAACTTACCCCTTCCACCCGAATCAACCACTTGGGTGCCATAATTGATTCGGTTTCTCAAAGAGTTTTCCTCTCCCAGGAGAGGTTCCTTAGCATTCAAGCCCTGGTCAAACAGATCAGGCGTTCAAGGAGGGTGGCCTTACTGGACCTCTCTAAATTGTTGGGCAAAATGGTGTCATGCATCTCTATTATTCCCTGGGCCCGTCTTCACAGCAGATCCCTCCAGTGGTTCCTGCTCCCGTTCCAACGATCCGGAAGAAGCAACTCGAAGGCCAGAGTCAGGGTCCCTCCAAGGGTCCTCACGTCTCTTCTATGGTGGACCAATCCCGCCATCAACAGAGGCCACCTCTTCGCAGAACCTCAACGACTCACCGTCACTACGGACGCAAGCCTGTCCGGTTGGGGCGCTCATCTCGACTCGCTCTCGGCACAGGGCAGATGGTCGCCGTCCGAGCAGAGGTGCAGCATCAATTGGCTAGAGCTTCACGCTGTCCATCTGGCCCTGCGCAGTTTTCCTCAGATCCGCAAACATCACGTCCTCGTTCTCACAGACAACGTCACGGCCAAGGCCCATATCAACAGGCAAGGCGGCACCCAGTCCATCCAGCTAATGAGGGAAGCCGAGCGCCTTTGCCGCTGGGCAGAATCCAACCTCCTATCACTAAAAGCCGAACACATCTCCGGAGTAGACAATACTCAGGCGGACTGGCTGAGCAGGGCCACGGTGGACCAGGCAGAATGGCGTCTCCATCCATCCCTATTCGAGGAAGCGTCCAGAATATTCGGCCTTCCGGTGGTGGATCTCTTCGCCTCCCCGTCCAACACTCAGCTTCCACGGTTCTTCTCCCGGTATCCATCTCACCGGTCGGAGAATCACAACGCTCTGCGCTGCCCATGGCCCCCAGGGCTCCTATATGCCTTCCCTCCGCTCCCGTTAGTTCCCAGAGTAATACAGAAACTTCTTCAGGAGAGGGCAGACCTTCTCCTGGTGGCTCCCTATTGGCCCAGGCGACCGTGGTTTGCGGATCTCCGCAATTTATCGGTAGCGCCCCCATGGAGGATCCCCCCGGACAGGGTCTCCCTCTCTCAGGGGCCCCTTCTGCATCCGGAGCCTCAATGGCTCCAGTTAGCCGTCTGGAGGTTGAGCGGATCCGTCTGACTGGTGAGAATCTCTCGAGTCAAGTCATCGACACTATTTTGGCCGCCAGGCGACCTTCCACTACACGAATTTATGATGCCACTTGGAAGGGGTTCTGCAAGTGGTGTAGCGGGTCTCAGGTTGATCCCCTCTCTCCCTCTGTGGCTCAGATCCTAGATTTTCTTCAGGAAGGCCTTCGTAAGGGGCTCGCTCCTAACACCCTGAGTCGACAAGTTTCTGCCCTCTCAACCGTGGTCTCCTGTGATAACTACGGTTCCCTTTCTCATCACCCCCGAATTAGATCTTTCCTTAGGGGTGCCACCAACCTGTGCCCTCCCACTGTTCACAGGTTCCCCACATGGGACCTCAACAAGGTCCTCGTTTCTCTCACACGTTCCCCGTTCGAACCTTTGAGGGATTCATCCCTTCAGTTTCTCACCTTTAAGGTAGTTTTTCTAGTAGCTATTACTTCTGCTCGTCGAGTTTCGGAAATAGCAGCTTTGTCAGTTAGGAGCGATCTATGTGTGTTTCACGCTGATCGGGTGGTCCTTCGTCCTGACCCCACATTCCTACCCAAAGTTAACTCTCCCTTCCATAGGTCACAGGAACTGGTTCTACCAAATTTTTGCCCTAGGCCCTCCAGGGGCAGGGAGGTCCTCTGGCACACCCTAGATGTTAGAAGGGCCTTGCGTATATATATTAAGCGCACTCAATCCATGCGAAGGTCGGAATCCCTCTTCCTATCCTTTCAACCCAGGTCTCTGGGGCTTAAGGTTTCTCCTTCCACCATCAGTCGCTGGATCAGGGCTACCATTGCAAGGTGTTACCTTTCCCATTCTCTGCCCGCTCCGGGTGGAATAACCGCCCATTCCACCAGAAGTGCAGCCACCTCGGCGGCCTGGGCCACACAAGCCCCCATCGCTGACATTTGTCGGGCAGCCACCTGGTCCTCTCCGACCCCGTTTATCAGACATTATAAAATAGATACGTACGCCTCAGCGGAGGCCTCTTTTGGCCGACGGGTCTTACAGAGGGTCATCAGTGATCCGGAGGGGCCTTCGGGCCAGACGGAGTCCCACCCGTAGGACAGCCCAGCTTTGGTATGTCCCAGTCTCTGGATGCTCCGAGCGGCTCGAGGGAGAATGGGCGTTGGTTCTTACCTGATACGCCCCTTCTCGGCGAGCCGCGAGGAGCATCCAGCCCCACCCTAATTTCTCCGTCTGGTGGGGACTCTTGCTTCAGCCAAGGAGCCAATAGTAGGTTAGAAAGAATTAATAACCTCTCTTCTCGTTATCGCAAAAAACTGGGGAGACGCTGCGCGATACCACGTGAGGGGGCGGAGCGTTTCCTCATCTAAAGCTCAGCCTGCAAGAAGAGGACTCAGAAGCACATCCCAGTCTCTGGATGCTCCTCGCGGCTCGCCGAGAAGGGGCGTATCAGGTAAGAACCAACGCCCATTTTGTTTCCACTTCCAACATTCCAGATTCATATTTGGATACATCTTCGCCAATCTCGCTGGTGGTAAATGCAAACGATAAAACATTCTGTAGAGGTTTTCCTTGTAAACCGCGGACATTGTTAATTTATAATTTTTTGTCCATAATTTTTCCCATTCTTCTTATTCGATATTGTACCCAAAATTCTTTGCCCAAGCTATCATGGACCCTTTAACTATTTCTTCTGCCATATTAAAACTTAACAAATAATTATACATTTTCATTATAAATTTCTCTTCCGATCCCAATAAAATTTTATCCAATTGTTGTTCTTTATCAAATCCATACTCTTCTAAGTCTTTTTTATATCTCTCTGTGGGCACATGCGCTGTCGCCCCAGCTCAGCTCCACCGCGTTTCTCCATGGCGTTTCCATCATTTGAAGGGAAACATAAGTTTCCCTGCAAACGAAACAGAAGCTCTGTTTTGGATTTCTGTCGTGCATGCGCCTCCCACTGGCCAGCTGGTCTTCGGGTCTCTGCCACACATGCACGGGGGCGCACATGCCTTGCAGTTTGGGCATGCGTGCACACTTTGGGCACTTGGTGCCTAAAAGGTTCGCCATCACTGAACTATGATATGTGGAAAGCCTGTTTACAGGAAAAGGTATTGTTCTCTTGTCCAGAAATTGTTTTGATTTATGGTGTTTTTTTCTAGTCACAAGTTTATTAAAAGTGACTACATGCAACAAATAAGTGCATGTTTAGTTGAAGCTGTTGAGCTTATTAAACTATTTTTAAGAACAAGAGTTCATACTGTGTCTTCATTCTTTTAGAAATGAGCATTGATGTTTGAATATATGTATGTTGTCTCCTATAATACTTTTTGCACTGTGTTTTTAACATGAACAAATAAAACTGCATGCAGAGACAGGATTGTTCCCAAGTTACTGATCTCTGAGAAAATTGAAACAGTATTGAATTATTGCTCAGAACTGTGCAGAGATACCCACCTTCATGGTTGGGCAATTCATAAAGGCTTTGGACATCTGTTTTTTTTATTGAACAGAAAGGCTTGGAGCTTTGCTTTTTCTTACAACCAAGCTGATCAGCTGATTAAAAAGGATCATCTCAGTGGCAGAAAATAAATTGCTCCTTTCTCACTGCTCTTGGTAGCAATCTTGAGCAGGTTGAATTGAGAGGAATGAAACTGCCTTCAGAAATTCTGTGATTCTTTTTGTGGGTGATGTTTGAATAGGTGTAAATTTGCATCCATATGCACACGTGCAATACTAACGATGTGACCCTTAGGGCTGAAAAGGCTGCATCTTCCTTGCTAAACTAGACAGCAGGTCTGGAACTGTTGAAAGGTTAATGGACTGGGGATGTGGGAGGGGGCTGAATTACTCAAGCAGGCTTGAGTCTCTGCTTGGGACAGGGAAGTGGATTCTTGGTAAATGCCAATATAGCCAATGTCTGCTGTATTTTTACAAAAAAAGTACTTGTGAATCCTTGTTGGATTCTTTTCCAGAAACCATATGGAATAGTCAATATGAAATTAGTTTGCTGTTTTGAACAATTTGGAATGGAGCTACTTCTTAAATTATCAGTCGAGGATACAATAATTGATCTGATCCCTGAGATGTCACCACAGTAAAATTCACAAAGGCATCCATACCTTTAATAACCTAGACTAAGAACCTCCCTTTTCCCTTTTTCATTATTTGTAGGTTGGGGGATCAAGGGAAGAAGAGACATATCTGCCATGTTCCTGAATGTGGGAAGACCTTCCGTAAGACTTCCCTTTTGCGGGCCCATGTACGTCTACACACAGGCGAGAGACCTTTTGTCTGCAACTGGGTCTTTTGTGGAAAGAGATTCACGCGCAGTGATGAACTGCAACGACATGCCCGAACGCATACAGGTCTGTCAAGTCATTTCTCTGCTTCTCTCTTCTGCTGCATCCCACCTGTAGTTCTGCCCATATAATGAATAGAAAAAAACGGTAAATACTAAATACTCAAAGGGCATTTTATCTTATCTCAGTCATCTTTACAATAAAGTTACGTTGGGGTTGATTTAATGTTGAAAGACTTGATTTCAAAACAGGAAGAAATTTAATTTATGTAAGTCAAATTATATGGCCACTTCTCCCTCAAACAGTGATTCTGGGTGGCTAACAGAAGTGAAAGTACAATAGCCATGTTTTTAATGGGATACTAGCAGAGTTGGATCTTGGAAAGTGTGATGTTCCAAGGGGCAGGTGCTGCACCAAAAATGCCTGCTTCCTGGTCTCATTCAATGACTTTCTGTAATAAACAGGACCTGGAGCATGCCCCTTCTATTGTTCTAATGGGGGTGGGTAGAAATAACCAGAGGCAGTCTTGCAAATATTGTCCTACGTCATGAAGGGCTTTATAATCAGCACCTTGAATTGTACTTGAAAGCAGACTAGAAGCTATCGCACCTCACAAGAGTGCAGATCTAACTTCCATGTAGGAAGTGAGATACCAGATTAGTCTTCCATGTTTACTTTTTTGTGTTGGTATTTGCATTTTTTTGTGTGCAGGGGCACAAATCAGTATGAGATATCCCTTGTGGACTGGTATGATGCAGGGGTTTCCATTCTGTTAGTTCAGCCAGTTTGTTAGAACCAGGTTCTTCCTGGTTAAAGAGGCCAGGCAGGTGACTTGTAGTTGAGTCCATTCTATGACAACTTCTTTGAGGCTGGGGGTGGTACCGTCAGCCTTGAAGTGGGCAATGGTGTGTCCCCCTCCTCAAGAGGCCAGCCTTGGACCCAGCAATTAAGACAGCTATTGTCTTGTCTCCAATCTTCCCTTTTTAAAGAAGGTTGTTGAAATGGTAGTCAGACTGCAGTTGCAGAGGACCCTACTGGAGGAAGCAGAGTATCTAGACCAGGGGTGTTAAACTCGTGATGACACGTTGTCATCACATGGCGTATTGCAACTTTTTTCCCCTTTGCTAAACTGGGGGTAGGTGTGGCCAGCGTGTGACACATCTGGCCTGTGGGCCATGAGTTTGACACCCCTGATCTAGACCAATTTCAGTTGGGTTTTAGGCCAGGATTTAGTACAGAGATAGCCTTGGTCACACTTGTTGATGACATGGGGTACAATACACATTATTGTACTTTTTATTGTTAATTTTCCCCCTAAAAGATTTCAGTTTTCCAATTGAATTGTACAGTTTATATGTTATATTATAGGTGGAAAAAATTCTGAAGTGATTTATCTTGGTTAAAAATCTGTCATTTTAACGGGTGTGTGTAGACTTTCTATATCCACTGTATTTTGTCAGTGACTTTCATATGTATGGCCCTTTTCATGTGTGCTCACTGTTGTTCTTCCTTTCTTTGGCCAGGTGACAAACGTTTTGAGTGTGCCCAGTGCCAAAAGCGCTTCATTAGGAGTGATCATCTGACAAAGCACTATAAAACCCACTTGGTCACTAAGAACTTGTAGGGCTGGATGCAAGCAGGAAAAGTGAGGAAACAGGGTGATGAGAGGTTTTTCACCCCTCATCATGAGAGAGGTTGCCCAAATAATTGTCCTGGCTGTGTGAAAGCTTTCCCAGCCATATTTGCCCAAGTAAAAATGTAGTGGCTGCTGCTCCTTCAATCAAACACCCTTCACACTGGCACATTCCTTTGGAACTTCTTGGAGAATGCATCAGACTTCAAGGCTTAAACCTCAGATAAAGGAGCAACTCCATATCCAAATAAGCTATCATCAGCACAAGCCCATTAGCAGACCTGGAAAAGCAAGGCAAAACTCATTTATGCATCTTCCTCGGGAGCTTGCAGAGCCAGTGTCGTCTTCTGCTGCACCAAAGGAATTCCTTATGGGTTTGAGAGTAGCACCAGTGAAACTATACCCCACTTGTAATTTTGGTTCCTCTTCCCACTGTAATTGTGAAGCTTTTGAATGAGAGGCAGGGAAACCATCCAAAATGGGACTCCGTCCCCCTGGCACATTCCTACTTTTTATTTAAAAACATAGACATAAATAGATACACACAGACACACACACACCACACACACACACCCTTAAGAAGCTCCATGTTTTTTCTACAAAGAATGTCTTATATTTTCCCCAGTTGCAAATTATGTATTGTAAACATTTTTTAAAATTTAATAATTTCTTTATAAACAAAATCCTTTGCCCTACCTTACACAGCCTAAAATCCCTATCAAAAAGCAGTTCTATGATCTGATGGTGGTCTGCAAACTAGGTGTGCTCTGTATACATAACAGGGATTTCTAGCGTATGTGTAGTAGCAGCAGTAGCACTTTGTTCAAGGAAGTTGAAGATGTTCATATATGAAGAGGCACTCGTGTATATATGTAGCAGAGCTGTGGGATTGTAGCCATATATTCTGATGTAGATGATAAAAAGTGCAGGCAAAATGCAATGTATGAGCCATATGGAAAATCTAGGGCAATCTGCAATTTGCATTGTTTGGTTACATAGATTAATTAGAATTACAGTCCAATGCAGATTTGTCCAGCCAAGCTCCATTAGACATCAGTAATGACATGGTGGCTGAAATGTAAGAACCTTTTTCAAAAAGTGGAATATTCTCAGTCTTTCCCCATTTTTTATATTATTATGTTTACTTCACTGGATTTCCCCCCTCCCCTTTTTTATATCTGATACAGCTCCTTTTGTGTATTATAGTGTGTATTGTGTCATAGACTATATAATACATTTAAGTGTTTGTTTCAAAAATATGCCATTTGTTTTGGGCTTTTAAACAAAAATCCACTTTGTTTTTTAGTTGTAACTGCTTGAAGTATGTTTCTTTAAATGGCAAATCATTCTTGTTTTTAATTAATGCTGTAACTTGTCTGAGCTGCATGTAGCTTGCCTAAAAGGGTGTGGTAGGTTGGGGGAGAACCATCCATCTCTTGATGAATTAAAATGTCAGAATCACACCCAACCAAAATTTGGGAACAAAGGATTATTTTTCTTAAGAGGAGAGAATGGAAAAATGGGTTGTTTAGGTGGCTTGCTGACAATAAAGGTGTAATAGGGAAGTGTTTTTACTCATTAAAGACTGCCCAAAGGCATTTTCATGCTTAGATTGTTTTGTCATGTTGGTCAGAATGTTATGATTTTAATACATCTTTCATTACCCCCTCACTCCCTTCATAAAACAGTAACAAAGCTAATGCCTCTCAGTGCTTTAAATACCCTCTTTCGTAGGTCAGCCTCAGAATATCCAACATCCGCTTCCTTTTAATACCGCGCCCTCCTAATATCCGCCTGCCATCCTGCTTCTCCTACACAACCCCTCAATCCTATGCCCCTGTGCTCCCCAATGCTATCCAAACCCTTCTACTCTTCAGCCTGTCAGTCCTGTGCTCCCCCATGCTTTTCAAGCTTTGCAAACCCAGCCGCCACAATCACAAGCAACCCCCATGTAGATTGGTCGGGGTATGTGCGGGTTGCGCATCGTCGTTTTGGGATCTGCAGCCACCCCACTGTTTTCCAGCAGCTCCATTGAGCTCCGTGGCAGCTCTGTCCCATACAACGGCTTCATCGGGCTCTCCAATAGCCTCTTCACATTGAAGAGAGCCAGGTATTGTTAGTCCTGAGCTGCAGCCTGCTGGTGGCATCCCCTCACTCCCCGCTGAAGTGTCGGGCTCTGGAACAGATCGGAATGCATCCGGAGCCCGACATGCCCCCTGTACCATGGATCCATCTGGCAGATAAAAGGGTTCAGAATGAGATACACATCCAACACATTCCCCTCTCCCACCCGGTTTAGTGGGGTACACCTTATGGAATTGGCTGTCAGCTTTGGAAGCCATATTCCACGCTGCCACATAGCCTGAGGAGTTGGGAAGGGGGTGATTTCAATTGAGTAGTTCTAAGTAGACAAAATAAAATTCTTTTCTTAGTTCAAGGTTATTAAGTGTGGCCAGGGGTGGGATTCTACCAGTTTGCACCTATTTGCTAGAACCGGTTAACATTCTAAGCAGTTCTAAGCAGTTCGGAGAACCGGTTGTTAGAAGAAATTACTGGCCTAATCCTGTAAGGAAGGCAGGAAGGAAACATTCTGGTGTTGCTTACAGAAACTGTCTCTGTGTTAACCCTTATTACATTCTTGGCAGGACTAGACTTCCTGTCTCAGGAACTTCTCTGGAGTTTTTTTCCCCTCCTTTGCTGGTACTTTGCTTGTGTGGAGTGACCATTCAAAGTTACAATGGCACTGAAAAAAGTGACTTATGACCATTTTTCACACTTACGACTGTTGCAGCATCCCCACAGTCATGAGAGGCCAGGCGAGATGCGTGCCTCGATGTGAGTGATATTGAGTTGGCCACACCCAGCCAATTACATGACCACCAAGCCATGTCTACCCAGTCACATGACCACCAAGCCACGCCCACCACCTAAGTCACGCCCACAGAACCAGTTGTTAAAAATTTGAATCCCACCCGAGTGTGGCGCAGCAGAGAAAAAGGATCTTACACTGAGACAGTTTGTGATTGGTCTGTGTGATGTGATGATGGGATGGATTGTAATTTGGGACATTGTGGGAAGTCCAGGAAACTTTAGTTTTGAGATTTCACAGATGTGCCAGGTGCTATTCTAATAAAGGTACTTTTGAGATTATTCTTGTCTCAGAGTTACTGATTGGAATGGAGGCTTGCTGGAACGCTGACATCTCAAAACTCTAATGAACTCTAGAACCCCATAAGGGGAGCTATCAGGTGCTGAACCCCAAGACTGATTCCAGAAATGGAGCAGTACAAACCCTCAGCTCAGATGGAAGAAGAGACTGAAGGGGTTTTTGGGCTGGACACAGAAAGACTGATTGAGGCCCCCAGCCCTCCTTCTGAAGAAGTGATGCAGGCATTAGAAGCTGCAGAGGAGAGATGGAATCTTGGAGCCCGGCCAAGAGATAGTGAATCATGGAGGAGCTGCCAAACGGAACAGCTTTTTTCCACAAGCCCTCTACAGATTGCTTGACAGACAGAATGGAGATGTGCGGGGGCGTTGGGATCAGAAACCTTCCAAGATTGCGATCAGTGGCCTCCTTCCAGAAGCCAGGCATTGGCAGGAATCCCAGAACAGCTCCAGCAGCTGAAGGTGGAAAGTTATGTCTCACAGCCCATATTTACCTTCCCCACTTTGAAAAGGAGAGGCAAATTCATGCTGGCATCGGGAGAAGATGGGTGGTGAAGCAGCCCAGCCTGGCAGGCTCAAGCTTCAAGGAAGAGACGGCAGATGCAGCCTACATTGGGTACATTACAAACCCCAAGCCCTCCCCCTCCACCCAGAAAGGAGATTACCCCCTGCAGAGAGTATTCCTCCAGGGTGGGGATTTTATCCTGGTCAAGGGTGGGTCCAATGCCAGTGGATGCCAGCACCTGCTGTACCACCTAGTCAGGGAACGCCCTGGCCCCAAAGAGAATCAGCCAGCAGATGGCAGCCACCCCCCTCTTCCCATCACAGGGAAGGAGGCAACAACTGGCCTTTTCATGGCAGGGCACTAATCAGGCCCTCCTCGGCCCAACCCTGCAGAGGCCCTTCTTCCAGAGAGCCTCAACTCAGCCAGGCCTCAGAGTACCTTTTCAAAGTGCATACATTCCTCATCAGGCTCCATTCCTTCCAGCTCAACCCGCAGTTGCTATGGAAATGCCACCTCCCCCCCCCTTAGACCAGACAAGATGGTCTTCAAGGCCACTTTTGACAGCTCACGTGAACATTTTGCTGATTTCCTCACTCGAATCTGGTCCCACATAGATCAGTTTGGAGCCCAATATGCAACAGATCACGATTTGGTCACTGCAATAACAAATGGGATGAATGAGGGGATTGCTTCTGATTCGGTGGCTCAGTTGCACTGTGAACAAGCCCCAGAACTACAGGATGTCAGTGCTTTCATTGATTTACTGAGGCTTCAATTCGAGAAGCCTGACAAGAGTGAGAGAAAATGAGGACAAATTAATGGAAATGAAACAAGGCAAGCAACCCTTACAAGACTTTGTATGGGGCTTTAAAGGGGTTGCAAGCCACCTCATGAAGTGGCCTGAAAGAATTCTGTTGCACTATTTCAAGAATGCTATTGACCCAGAAGTAAAAAAGATCTGTAACATTAGAGGAACGCCCAACACTCTGCAGGATTGGTACACAATGTCCCTCAAGCTAGACCGGGATATCAATCCATAGAAAAAAAAAACCTACCTGAAGGGCCTCCTAGGAGAGCTGTGGCCAGGTGGCCTCTTCCCAGACCTGCTGAAGTTGCTCCTACCCGACCTACAAGAATAATAAAATGTTATCATTGTGGCCAGGATGGCCATAGAGCAGCCAACTGTTTGGCTCCTACACCGGTTCCACAAGCTCCACAACAAAGGCCTAATACAGCCGCCAGGGTCGAAAAATTCAACGGAATCCTCCAGACACTAGCCGGTTTGCTAGACACACTGTAGAAGGTCCCCTACACACAGAAGGGAGCAATGAACTTCCAACCCAAGAAATTCTCCCCAGAGAAGCCAATGATGAAGATGACCCCATGGTGAGTGCTGCCATCACACCTTTTACAGTCAAAGTGAAGTTGGTGGTGCCTGACATGGGGGAGGTGGGAGAGATAGAAGCCATAATAGATACCGGGTGTTCTAGATGCTTTATTGGCCTCCCCATCATTGAACAATTAGGAATAAAAATAAAACACCTGAAACACCAAATCAGGTTTGAACAAGTAGGTGGGACTTTAATTGGGGGAATCCGGGCCACCAAAATGACGGAGTTAATCAAACTATAGATGGGCAGTCACCGTGAACCCATATGTTTTATAGTGGCTCCAAAGATGTCAGAATCTGTAATATTGGGACTTGCTTGGCTCGATAAATGGGCCCCAACCATCAAGTGGGAGGATGGATACCGAAAAATAATTGGGGTTACCTTCCTCCCACAAAGAAACTACCACCCAACAGAGATCCCCAACCTGAAACAGCAGCCACCGCCTCAGACTCTCCTCCAGGTGCCCCCCAAGTCCCCAAACAATACAAAGACTTGGCTGAGGTGTTCAGTGAAGAGGAATGCAATGTTTTACCTCCCCATCGAGCCACTGATTATGCCATAGAATTAGAACCCAGGGCAAAACTGCCAAAACCAAAGATGTATTCCATGACACCAGCTGAAATGACTGAATTGAGAAAATACATAGATAACAATTTGGACAGAGGTTTCATTGAACCTGCCAAATCTAGATTGGCCGACCCAGTGCTATTCAAAGAAAAGAAAGATGGTGGCTTGAGATTATGTGTTGATTTTAGAAGCGTAAACACCATGTGCGTTAAAAATATGTACCCCCTCCCCCTCATGAAAGACTTATTAAACCACCTGTCAAAAGGCAAGGTCTTCACCAAACTAGATCTGAGAGAGGCTTAGTGCTGAGTTTGCATAAAGGAGGGAGACGAATGAAAAACTGCCTTCAACTGCTCTTTGGGTAGTTTCGAATTCTGAGTCATGCCTTTCGGCCTTCAAAGCCCCTCCGCAGTATTTATGCAACTCATCAATGAAATGTTACATCCACACCTGTACCAAGGGGTCCTCGTCTACCTGACTGACATTCTTATATTCAGCTAAACCATCGAAGAACATGTCAAATTGGTCAGACAAGAGCTGAAAAAACTTTTGGCTGCCAAGTTATATGTAAAACTGTCAAAATGTGAATTCCACAAAGAGTCACTGGATTACTTAGGCT